GCGTGACTTCCTGGGCCCCTTAGTCCCACCCTGAATCAGACTATCGTGCAAGTCTGGTAAGGGCTGCAACCCAGCCTTAGCTTTGGCCCGTGTTACAACAGGACATACTAGCCGTGCTTCTGCCTTATCACCATCAGATTTCATTGTACCTTGCAGTAAATCAGGCAATATAGGCAAATCTTTCCCTAGAATCATGTCAGTAGGTAGCGATTCAACAACTGCAACCTTGAGTAAATATGTTTGTTCATGAACACATACATTCACCACCGTACTTGGGTAACTTTTCACATCCCCATGTACACATTGTATGTCAATTGAGTCATCAAAACACATGTTTGCAGCATGACATGATTTCAACAAAGAAATGGCACTTCCAGTGTCCAATAACGCTCTCAAAGATTGTCCATTAACAGTCACAGTCATTACATTCTGAGAGTCACATACATGTAAATCCTCAATGTCCTCCTCTCTAGGAACATAGCAATAACCTGTGAGTTTAGCTTTACGGATGGGACACACAGTGGCTTTGTGCCCTGGCTGTTGACAGTAATAACAAATAAGTTCCTTGTCTGTGCCTGTTTTTGATTCAATTGAATCCATATACGGTCTTTGTGAAGTGGTTTTCGCATTACCTCGTGGTGGTTGAGACCGTTGATTTCCCCGATGAGCATTTCCATATTGCTGTGCCAACCTTGCTGCTGCCAGTCCGCTGGTAGGCTCGTGCTCCTTAACCCACATACGGCTGTCATATGGCAACACTCGCAACAGTTGTTCGAGGATAATCAATTCTCCAATCTCCTCCTTCGTGGACTGCTCTGGTCGAACCCACCGACGATACAGGTTCCGTAGCCGGTGATAAGTCTCAGTTGCTGATTCTCCTGCCGGTACTGTCGAAGCCCGGAAGCGCTGGCGATACGTCTCTGGCGAGATATTGAATTTTTCCAGGAGAGCTTCCCGCAGCTCATCATACACATCGGCTTGCTCCTCATCCATTGCCAGATAGGCCTCCAACGCTTTGCCTGTTAGCAACGGCACCAGCCTACAGCTCCACTCCTCCTCAGGCCATCTCCACGTTCGTGCCAGACGCTCAAAGCGGCGTAGAAAGTTTTCCATATCCTCTCCAGCTTGGAAGACTGGCATTTGCGGCTCAGACCTTAGTGGTGGTGGTGGTGGTGGTGGTGATGGTGGTGGTGGTGGTAGCGGTGGCCTAGACCGGCCTGGCGTCGGAAGCCCCATTCGTGGACTCGCAGCACTGCTTGGTGTAGCCGCTGCCTGACCCGTCTGCTGCATGGATTCCCGTATTCCCCGGATTTCAGACAGATATCTTTCCTCCCTCTGTTGTTGAGCACCAAGGAATTCCCGCATTAACGCCACCATTTCCCCAGTGACCGTGCTGGGCCGAGGTGAACTAGATCTAGGATATTCCTCTGTCTCCTCATCCTCCGATTCACCCAGTAAATCCGATTCTGGACCCCTTGCGCTTTGCCTCACTTGTGAACGTGGTTTTCGCCCTCTCTGTGTCTTTTTACGAGTGGCCATCTCACTTCTGACACCAATCTGTAGGGAAGCGGGTTCTGGTGCTCCACTCCCTGGACGTGGTATGGTCCAAGATAAAAATGATGGCCCAACTCGCAAATGCACTATGGTGCAAAATGATGGTTTATTTACATTGAGGTGAAACTTATTTACAAGTGAGTCCTGAACTCTACAAAACTAATCAACTATTCCACCGGCAAAAATAGGATAACTTAAACAAAAATAAAATAGAAAATAAACAATCAGGTAAACACGTATCCACAATACACGGTTTCACACATCACTTCATTATTTGACTTGTTCGTGGCACCACAACTGCACACTCACGCATCAGTCTACCAAGAGACCCTGAACACATATTCAGCCACTCTTTTATACTGTTGGCTCCTCCCCCTATTGGAGCCAACCATTTACCAAAACCCAGGGGAAATATGAAATTTCATAGTGCTTAAGTACTACATAAACTTGCACTAATAAACATTAACCATCAATATATACCCATAAAATACATACCAACATCAAGTAATATTATTTTAAAACATAATTTAACTATGGACACAAAACATTTCCCACATCACATGACACATAGTACCCTCTGTTCCGGGTGACGCCATTTTTGCGGAGACGCGACAGTGCGCTATAAATAGCCCACGATACCAACGATCACGTTCAATCTGTCTCTTTCACCACTAACATCAACTCATCCTGAACAGGTAAATCCATTTGAACATATGTATGCGTGTATGTGCGATGTGAACTTATTGTAACAGGATGATGAGTACTTTGAGTTTGCATGATCAAATGCTATGTGTCTCGTGTGCACCCGGACAATAGCGATAACAGGAGCGGCAAATTTGAATGTGTGTATGTGTGTGTGTGTGTGTGAGAGAGAGCCAGTGCCAAACTGCTGTCAGATTAGGTCTCCTTCTTTACAGATTTCAATCTTGTCCAAAATGAGCATGTCTATGTTTTTCTTACACACTTCTGAAAAAATTACAGAGCAAATGAAACACCCACTGCTTTCCTCAACTCAGCTAACCTCTGAGAAGAATGGGTGTTATTATGGTTTTGTATTTTTCACAACGCTCTGGAAGTTGGTGGTTCCAGTACTGCTACGCGTCAGACCACATTATTGCTCGAAACAGCCAAAATAATCACAGGGTGACCAACTGTCCTGTTTTCCCAGGACAAGTCCTGCTTTCAAATAACAATATAACAATTTTCTATCCAAAGGAGGCATAACCTACTTCAAATGTATTGAAATTAATAAGTTATCTTTGAGTAAACTTCGAGTATCATTTGAGTAGGCCCATCTGTTTGCCGGGCCGAGTGTCCTGGTTTTTGGTAATCAAAATAATACAGTCTTTCCCCTAAATTATTTTTCATAAATATTTCATTTTTAAATAATATATTTTTTAATATTTATTTATATATTTTTTATATTTGAATTGCCATGTTTCAAATATATCAAATAAATACCAAGTTTCCCTAGTTAACATTTTGTCACTCCTGCTAATGATATATTGCTCATATATATATATATATATATATATATATATATATACTGTATGTGTGTGTGTGATTTTTACAGTGTTTTTCAGGGTGAATCGGCCTAGAAATAGCTTACTTATAATGGTCTTTGCTAATGTAATTACACACTCTCTCTCTCTCTCTCTCTCTCTCTCTCTCTCTCCACACACACACATATAAGCCACCATATGAAAACAAAAGCTTAGCGCTCTGTATCACACAAAATCTTGTTCTACTCTGGTTCAAAAAATTAATAATCTGAATGCTTAAATAATGATTATGTTGGTAATTACACAGTCACAACCTAATTCTACAACTCTCTCTCTCTCTCTCTGTAACAGCTTGTTAGCGCTAAAGGTTGTACTGTTCTGCTAATTGGCTTTATTAGTATTGGTGGCCACATATCGACAAGATTTTCTATCAAAGATACATGCCTGGTTGCAATTTGTAAGCCTGTGAACACATACACAAGTATTCACGTGAGTACATCCAGCATGACAATTTAATGCTCATGAATCACAATCCTAAGAGCATGTCAGGTATCAGTCAGACTCCAGCAATGATTCAGAAGTTCATTACAAGTCTTTCTTGTACATTTTTACAAGCCAAGTAAAATATTTAACAGCACAGAACAGTTGAAATAAAAAAGTAGAAGCCACAGTGGAATTTTTGCTACTTCCAAGAAGTTGATTGAAAATAAATAAATAAAATGATTTGATTGGCTTGGATGTTTTCTTCCTTGTAGTAAGCAGGGCTAATAAATCTCTTTAAAACACATCAAACAAAGCAGAGTGAAGCATGCAGTTTCCTGCAACCACTAAGTTGGGTGAGAACATTTGTCTTTTGATTCAGCCTTTCTGTGATAGATAGATAGATAGATAGATAGATAGATAGATAGATAGATAGATAGATAGATAGATAGATAGATAGATATACAGACTGATCTCATGAAGTAGCGTGTGTATGACATGCCAATTCGTATTTCCATTTTTGGCGTGCTATCAAGACACATAATTGCCTTTAAGCGTGTTTATGAACGCCGTTGACTTAACGTTACATAAACACATGACTTACCTCAACCCGTCCCTAAACCTAACCGTCACTGGGGTCAATGGCATTTATGACTGTTCCCTTTTACCATCCTAGGTAAAAAAAAAGATATGACTTACCTCAACCCCATCCCTAAACTTAACCGTCACTGGGGTTAATGGCATTTAGGACTGGAGATTTGACTGCGTGTTCAGACACGCGGAATGATGCGGACGTTAATGGCGTAGACATATACGCATACACGCGGACACACGCGGATAGCTCAAAATGCGTGGAGATAACACGCCACCTGACTCGAAAGTGGCGTATATGTTTATGCAAAAGTCATGATGTCATGTTGATAGATACATAGATAGATACATAGATAGATAGATAGATAGATAGATAGATAATCCTTGAAAAAAAGGCAAAATACGGGCAGATGTGGTTGCCAGCATCATACTGTAAAAATACAGTGTGTTACTGTTTTTGAAATTATCAGCTAAATGCTGCATTGTCAGCTACAGTATAAAACTTTAATTTAACAGCTAGATGCTCTAACACAAAAACAGTAACACACCGTATAGTTACGGTATGATGCTGGCAACCACAGCTGCCAGTAGTTAACCGTTTTTTTTACAGGATTATTTTTTACAGATGCATTTAGTTGAACTTAAGAGTGCTTTTTTGACCTACTTTAGTAGACTTAAGTACATCTCTGTGTATTTTCATAATCACTTCACTATTGTCTTTGAAATATGGATTAAGTGCACTGCTGAATATTCTAATCAAGTCAAGGGTTGTTGGTCTATTCAGATCTCTATGTTATCCAGCCATTCAGAGAAAGTTTCTACCTTTCTATAAGTAGGATTATGGACAGAAACAACTTTGCATTGTATTCTTACCTGGAACATGACCCTGTATTGCTCCTCGGGCTTCTGCACCACGCACATGTTGCACCCCATCCTGTGTCCTGAGGTCTGACCACCGACCCCGCCAGGCCACGAACCCGTTCAGATCACCTTCTCAGAGGAGCCGCTGTGCTAGTTCGGAAACCGCATGTCCCAGATGCCCACAGACACTTCGCTTATCTGTCACAGTCCAACAACAAGTTCTACGAATGCAATGCACTACGGGGAGAGCCTTTGCGTTTAGACCATTTCCAGTTCAGAGACACACGCAAGTACCAAAGTCTTTAAAGAAGTAAGTTATCAAGCTTTTTAAGAGAGCATGTCAGCCTAACTTACTCAAAAAACCAAAGTCCTAAATGTCATATCTCAAGTTTATTGTGGAGTGTGAAATCCAATGAATTCCAGCATGTAGAAAAGTCCATTTGTGCTTCAAGTGAAATGTTGTAGTACGCCACTTCTTGTGCTCCTGTCCCCATTGATGTGCTTAATTCAGGGAATTCAGCATGAAATTACGCGTCTGTGCTTGCTCTCGCGCTTTTATCAAGGCCACTTCCAGCAGCGCTTTTTTCTGGGACTACATCCAAATTACTCCTAAATCAGTAAAGGCTGCATGTACATCCAATATTTTTATTCCAAAGCGACTGAGGGATGATTGGATAGATTGAATGTTTGGTCAAGAGAGACCTTTAGTGAAAAGCGTTCCAAGAAGGAAAATTACTTTTGCGAAATCTGTGGCTTCGTTTCAAGTTTTTGCTTCCAAAAAGTGTCACTTTAATTCCAAGGCCCTTTTTTGCCAACATTTTAAAACGAAAACTTAACAGCAGTAATTGCAGTAGAGTGGTCAAAGCAGTGTATGTTATTGTAGCTTTTAACTGCCGAAGCCCTCATGAATACCAAGTCTTTTCATTTCTAATCGAATCAGTTCTTGACTGTAGCTACAGGCTTTTAGCCACAGTTTATCTCCTCGCTCACTACTTCACACAGTTACACCTGAAATCGATGGATTCTTTCTCAGTTTCAGTTCAAAGAAGAGGTTGAATGCTTAACGCCTTCACGTATCCATACAGGATTTCAAGTGCCTCACTTTGGCTTTGTGCTTTTTCTTCTGTCCCTCCACCTGTTCCACTTTCACAGCAGCTTTTTCTTGTATCTCCCTGTTCGAACTTCCGCATTCATGTAGGTGTTTCTCATCAGTCTCTCAAAGACTCTGCACTGTGTAGTGAGAGTCGCATTCGGTTGAACAAAAATGCATGTTGCAAGCTGGGTGAATTGGTAAAAATTGGTTGCACATAAAAGCGTGAGGTGAGAGAGTCAGTGTGCTTGAGGAAAATCCAATCCTACGCACTCCTACATAAACATGCTTTAACAGTTCTGCTTAGGTGCGAACAACAGCCAACTTCGCTCGCTCGACTGGCTGCCCATCTGTACACACAACCGCCATAGACACTTAACAAACACACACGCCACAAACACGACCAGAAACAGGCGTACAAGCACACAAATGTAAATCAACAGCATTTGAAGGAGCAGCTTCACATAAATTGAGGTTGTTTCCAAAAAAAAGGACTGTTAAGCATTTCTATCTGATTATGAAAAATAAAGCGCCGTACTTAACAGTCAATCTTAACCCAAATCCTCAACAGTGAAAATCTAGCATTATTCAGATCAATGAAAGAAAATTCAATTAAATGACACAAGCCCTTAATAGTGAACACTGGCTCTCTGTCACGTAGAAATCAATATCTTTTTTAATAAGATAGCAGTTGGGTGCCTTTGGTGCTCAGTGGTTTGCGAAATGTAATTATCAGACGTTCGGTTTAACAAATGCTCCGGCGTTCTGCTGGCACATTTTGCTGCAGAGGTGGGACATTAGAAAACCGCGCTGTCCTAAGGTGCATATAAATCTTGATCTAATCGCAGACTCGAAACTGAGGCAGCACTCTTTACCATTCGGAAGAAACAGATGTGCAACTTGTTTGTAGCAAGTTCGTTAATTTGATAGTTTTCTTTGTTTAGATTTCCCTCCTTCATCACTTTACTCTTTGTTTCTGAGAAGGAAAAAACTCAGTCTCAGAACATTCATTTCTGCTAAAGTGTTTATAAAAGTCATTGTGCAACTACTATTCATGTTGTCAGACTTATTTATCCACTCTCTATCCGAAAGTCGTCTCGCAAACCATCCGGTTTCTGATTGGAACACGCTTCACGACAGCGGAAAGCTTTAACCTCATTACACTGTGAAAGCACTCGTGTTGTTTCACGCACCCTGCTGTTTGAGATTGCAGGCTAGTCATTCATGCTGCAGTAACGTGCCAGACAGACTCCGCGCGCCCCGAGACGCTAACAGGCGTCGCCCTCGTACACCCCCCCACACACACACGGGTCAAATGTTACCACACACACTCATCCAAGCGCAGAAAACTGGCGTATTTCACCTGAAACAACCTCACACAGTTGATCAGGAAAGCTAGCAAAGAGTTCAATAGAAAGATTTCAGGAGAACTAGAAGGAAAAAAAATAATGCAACAGTCTCAAAAGTATTCCTCAGACTCAACTAGACACCATCAAACATCAGCACCACATGTGGGGCGTGAAAAAGCACCTTTCAAAGAACTCTCCAAGAAACAAAGTCAGGTATGAGGGAGAGGCGTGTCATCCCTCCTTCTCTCTCTTCTTCCTCCCAAGTGTGCTGTGTCCTTTTGTTTGGGAAGGACTTGAGTAATCCATAATGGCATGTTTCTTTTTCCTCAAAAATCCTTGAAAAGAGCCAGAAAACTGGATTGGTTCATTCAGCTGAGGGATGGTATTCTGGTCCAGTTCAGAGCAGAACGCCTGTGATGGAGAGAGGGGCGAGCAGGCAGGTGAGGTGAGGTTGCTGCTGTCTCGTCCCCTCATGCGAGCCGCTGAATAAACTCCCCCACTGCAGAGGAGAGAGAGAGAGAAAGAGAGAGAGAGAGAGAGAGAGGCACACAAAGACATTAACGCCCTGTGAAGCCACACACACACACACACACACACTAGTGGCTGTGCTCACTGGCGGAATAGTTTAGGATGCAACAGAAATCATCATCCAGCTCCACACACACACACACACACACACACTTTCTCTCTCCTCTGCTCTCGGTGTTTCTCTGCTTTACTGTCTGCCCCTTTTTAATGTCCAGTTTTAATACTAATACTGGTGAAATACAATTAAATGTTTAATTGAATGAAAATATTCTAACAAAAAATAATACAATTTTTAAATAAAAAAAAAGGAAAATAATTCCACTTGATTTTTTTTACTTCCTCGTCCATCTTTCTCTATGGACAGGTTTACAGTTTTCAAATTTTGCTGAGATTTATGTGCATTGATAAAACACCATATATGGGTTACGGGTTGTGGCTGTTGTGATCATTTTTGCACAAAGATGAATCAAATCTAGCCTGACTTCGTCATACTCATTTTCTAATAAGAAAATGAGTCTGATACCGCTCCGTTATGCTTGGATTATGAGGCGTGTCTTAACCGAACCAGGAAAAAAACAACCTCTGCACTCAATTGGATAGTCGGTAAACCTACAACCAATCAGAGCAACGCAGTAAGTCAACTCCTTTGCATAGCACAGTTTTCAACTACAGAACTTACTTATTTTAGATTAGAAGTTAAATAACGATTGTTGCTTCTTTTACTTACTTCTCCATGAGTGCGACCAAAGGAGAAACCACAACGACCACAGGCTTTTCATTACATCTCATCTTCTTAGCGGCCGTCAGAGCCAGCTGATAAGTTACACTTTTCGCGAATCATGTTGGAAGGACGCCAAAAATATCTTTCCGATCGACAAATGCCTTGATTGCAGTTTTCTGTTTGTCTATTAAAATGAATGCACTGTCGATTTATTTTACAAAAGATGCGACAGCGGAATCTATACATCTCAATTCTCCAGCTGCAGTCATCTCTGAGGGAAATCAGTTAGCGCTCTTTGATAACGTGATGATTACGTCCTTGCAGATCACCTGTCCATCATGGTATAAAGCCCGCCCTGGCAATTTGATTGGCCCATTTATTTCTTGCCTGATCATAATTACTCCTCAATGGATCGAGTCCAGACCGAACTTCCCCACCAAAAAATGTTGTGGGCGGAGTTCGGGCAGGCATCCAGGCTAAATCAAATCATGACCAAATCATAAATCATTTCGATAACATGAAGTAAATAAACACACATCAACCAGACTGAAGAATGAAACAACAGAACTATACTGTAGATGACACCGTTTTCAACTAAAAACGGTAAACTTTTGATGTGTTTTGGCCATTCGTTTACATGACAAGGGTGTTTTGGGGCCATGAAAACAAAGTTTTGAAAACAGGTTACATTTTTTTTATAATGACACTGTTATCATCTCCTTGTAAACTACAGTACAACGTGATTTTGTGAAAACGGTGACATCATGCGCATGTGTATTATGTGTTCTGTGTATAGGTTGTAGTGTTTCTTTAGACAGTGGCATCGCCATCTATTGGCCTGGCATGAATAATACAGTGTTTTCAAAGATCCGGAAGAATGGGGAACATCGTTGTGTGTTCACGAAAAACCTTTTTAGTACATCATTGTCGTGTAAACATACCCTAAGGGCTATGTGCACAGGTCAAACGAAGGAAATTAAACGCAGGTGAAGCTAATCAGTAACTATGGAAACAAGCTGACACACAATAGGAAACTAGTGCTGTGTCCCAATTCGCATACTATCCATCCTAAATGGTAATCGAAAATAGAATCAGTATGTCCCAAATCGTAGTATGTTGAAATGAAGAGAGACCCGGATGGTACACTATCTCTAGTCAGAATCCAAAGTGCAGATCGATGCACACTCTGACGTCTAATATTGCCCACAACCCATTGCGCCTTGGATGAGGAATCGATTAGAACTACAAACACAAGTGAAAAGTGTTAAGCAACTACAGACATGGAGGACGCGAGAATCCCACGGTTGTGTAGAGAGGTTTAGATAAAGGGGTCTGAGTGATTCATTATCAGTATCTAACCTGATGAAAATGTATTTATTGCATTATATATTATAATACATTATTGCATCTGCAGCAGCATTGCGAACTTTTGTAAAGATCCGTTAGCCATTAACTTAACTTAAATGCATCATTACGTTCAAATTGTAAACACATGAGTCTCTCCGCATGAAAGACCCAGATGATGAAAGGCAGATGAACGTGCTACTACATTTCTCTCAGAAACGATAGGAAATTAAATAGGGCATAGTATAAGTAGGGGAATTGGGACGCAGCCTAGGTCAACTTAATATGACAAGGAACTGGAACAGAACAGAACTAAACCTAAACGTTTTGTCAACCCAATCTCATGGAAAACGCTTAACGAATTATATATTTGAATTATGATTTTTTACAATTTTAACCATATGAAATTGAATGATTTTGAAGATAAAACTTAAGCATGAAGATCCACCCCTCAACATATCCGTCACTGGGCGTAAGCAGATTGTACGAAAATGTACAAATGAGATTGTACAAATTTATGTGAATTAGCAACTAATTCAACAAAATGTATAATTGCCATGAGTTTGTAGTTTTTGAGTGACTCAAGTTGGACATATTCATACAAATTTGCCAAAACTGAAAATAGTAAGGTTTTTTCATGAAAGCGGGTTGCGAAGCATCAATATGCACAATAAAAAGAAAAGACAAAAAAGCTTGCTAGTAATGGTAATAGACATAAATAAAAACAAATAACAGAATATAATTTTAATTAACAACAAAAAAACAGACATAGATTTTTATTTGAAATAAATCAAATACATTTCAATCTCATTCACATTTTTTCTTTAACGCCTCACCTCTCTCACTCTGCCACTCTTTCCCTTTCATTCCTTCTGCTGCATAATGCATTTTAAAACTCGTGTGTACTAATGGATGGATGTGATATTCATAAGGTCATGGATTCATTTCTATTGTGCGTGATTCAGGTTTGAAATCTTTTGAAAAAATGAATCATTCATCTTCTGTATGGATCAAAGCTTCATGGTGAGAGAGATAAAACCCGCAGATCCACATATAATGTCAGTGGCTGTGCTGGTGTCATCATGTCATTTCAAATGGACTATTTATTTAATGCTGATGAAAACAAAAAGCATCTGAAAGACAGCAGAGGGAAAATTAGAGAATGAATGGACGCGAACGAGACACCGATGAGAAACTAGGTAACAGGTGTGAGACCATGATGAAAGCTGAGAAACAGCCAAGAACTGTAATGTAATTAGTGTGTGTGTGTGTGTGTGTGTGTGTGTGTGTGAGAGAGAGAGAGAAAGAGTAAGAGAGAGAGAGAGTGTGCGTGTGTGTGTGCGGCATCATAGAGGGTTTAGGGAAGACAAGGAAACCTTAAAGGGATAGTTCTCCCAAAAATGAGAATTAACCACATTCAAGCCATCTTACTGTAGGTGTATATGACTTTCTACTTTCAGATGAATACAATCGGAGTTATATTAAAAAATTTCCAGGCTAATCCAAGCTTTATAATGGCAATGAATGGGAGCCCAAAATTTTAAGACCAAAACGTGTATCCATCATTATGAAAGTAATCCACACGGCCCCTGGGGGTTTATAAAGGCCTTCTGAAGCAAAGCAATGCATTTGTGTTAGAATTAGGGATGCACCGAATCCAGGCTTCGGATTTGGACGAATATTGGTCTTTTTGGCGGGATTCGCTTTCTGCCGAACTTGAGAATTTTTTTCCACCGAACCCTAGGCTTGTGTCTGGATTCAGTGCATCCCTAGTAAGAATAATATCCATATTTATAACTTGATAACTAGCTTACATCAGATGGCCTACACAAGTAGACTTAAACCAAAAGAGTACCATGTATGACGTAGGATACTGTGAGCTTTGACATCTCTCACGGTTCAAACAAACAGGGCTGAGCAACAAACTCAAGCTCCTCCTACATTTCTCTTTAAAAATTCTAATTTTAGACGTCTAATTCGGCAATGGTGTTGTTTTATTTTGCTCTATTCTCTGGACTTCTGTGTTCGTCTATGCGTCATGCGTAAGCTCAGAGGTCATTCTTTCGCTGTAAAATGATGCGTACGGTTGTTTTTCGGCAGCTAGTTATTTTAGTTGACAAAGTTTTAAATATTGATGTTTTTTCTGCGCTTCAGCGAACTGGCTGCCCCCTCAAGTCCCCAGTACTTCACCCACAGGGTCAACGCCTCTCTTCTGGCCCGAGTGGCATGGTATCGTTTGGCAGGTCTGATGAAGAGTTAGCCTTGATGTCTCATCTGATGACGTGCGGCTTAGTATGAACACAAATATTTTTGCGAGTCCTTACTTGATGAAGGATTCCTGCAGCCAGTCGTTGACCGTCAGGTTGCCTCTGCACTGCATTCAATAGTGATGCTTCAAGTTTATCAGGCCAAGCTTCTCCATCTCTTGATCATTAAGGAGCCGCACATTGCAACGGACTTGGTCCTTGAAGTCAAGCCACGCCTCTGCCCCCCGGAGGAGGAAAGGGATATGTCCCGTAAAAGCCAGACCAACCTAAAAATGTGCCCGTCTTCCAGTCCCCTCTTCAGTTCAGGGTGCTGGAAACATTGTTGCCAGTTCTGGGCCCGCCACACCAGTTTGCGCACCCAAACCCTTTCTTATGACCCTCTGGTTATGAGGAACCAAATACAATTTTTACATTCTCACGAAAAGAGCATTCCTCCTCATCTTCATACGATGGCAGGTACCATTCTCCCACCAGACGCAGTCTATAATACTTCAACCTTTTGCCACCCTACTCAGGGCAGAGCAGGCCATCTCCAGAGTGTTGGGCAGGATTTGGGGGATAATAGAACAAGGTTACTCACTTCAGTTCACTTTCAGACCACCCGCTTCATGGGAGTGATTCA